AAATATAATTGTCTTGTTATATTTTTATTAATTGAGTATATTCTTATGTTGTAATCTTTGAAGCAAATGGATGTACATCCGGGACCTATTTTACGCGATGTTTTAGTAATTGAAGCGGGAGACCATAGGTGTGATGCGGTTTGGGCCGAAGAAGAATATGCTAAAAAAGTATTAAAGTGTCACAGGACTTGTACTAGTTTGTATACGAGTACTCTTCTTGTTAATAGACCGGTTCGTGTGAGTCATTTTTTACGAGAATACGGATTTCATGGGATTGAGAGAGTTGGTGGCTTGCAATTGGACTGGGCTTTGATCACAGCTCTAGTGGAGAGATGGAGGCCCGAGACCCATTCATTCCATCTTCCATTCGGAGAGGTTGGAATTACTTTGCAGGATGTAGAGGTTTTGCTTGGATTGCCCGTAGATGGCAATCCATTGGCGGGGATGACAGGCCGATCCAGAGATCAGTGGATTCAGATTTGTGAGGACATGATGGGATTTAGGCCTCGAACATCCGACATTACTTCTACTATGATTAAGATGTCTGCCATTGTTCCTAAGAAACTATCAGATCAGAGTTTAGATGTAGATTACTTGCAGCATGCTAGAGCCATTATGTTTAAGTTGTTGGGTGGTAGCCTATTTCCCAACACGACGGGAAATAGGGTTAGTTTGTATCTTTTAGAGATTATCATGGGTGACGCAAACATTGTGCGAGGTCGTGCGATTGGTTCGGCAGTACTCAGTTACTTGTACCGTAGCATGTGTCGTGCTAGTCCGACGAGTGCAGCACAGATTGGAGGTTGTCTAGTCTTGTTACAGCTTTGGGCTTGGGAGCGTCTGCCTATGACTAGACCTAGAGGGGTTATACCATTGGATCAGCTGGTAGATGTCCCAGGTATTTGTAGTTTATTTATGTATATTATAAAATCATATTGTATGTTTCAATCATGGTTGTGCATAATCCTTCACTTGCAGATGGGTGTGCTACCATCGATGGTCAGATTGTACCACACACTCCATACGAGCATACAGGGACCAGCTTGATAGATTGCTCGAGGGAGAGGTGAGTATTTAGAATATTAAGATGTTATACATATATATTTTAGTTTGAATGTGTATCTTAGTACATGTTTATGCATGCAGTTTGTTTGGATGCCGTATCCGAATCTTGAGACCCTACCGCCCTATTGTTCAGCTGGAGTCGGAATATGGATCTCTAGAATCCCCTTGATATATGCGTACGTAGTGGAGATGTCTTGGCAATGACGGGAAATGGTGAGATTTTTCCCTTGGTTTTCTCCATTGTGGATGTTGAAGATGGTGAAAGTTGGAAGTGGTTCATGAAAAATATCATGCGACATGTCGTACCTCCACACCGCCATATATGCATAATATCTGATAGGCACAGTGGTATTGATCACGCATTCAATAATGTTCCAGAACTGCTGGGAGGTCAAGTCACTCGAAGATTTTGTCTCCGCCATGTGCGAAGCAATTTCCATAGCAAGTTTCGAAGTAAGAAACTGAAAAACATGATGTATAATGCTGGCAAGACCCCTAGCATAAGTGAGTTTGAGCATACGCTTCTCGAGATAACATCTAAAAATCAAGAAGCGTACAACTGGCTTATGGCTATTCCAAAGCACATGTGGGCATTGTCGCATGATGAAGGTGGCGCACGCTATGGTATAACGACAACAAATTCGTCTGAAAGCTTCAATCGTGTCCTTAAGGGATGTCGTTGTTTACCCGTCTTTGCCATCGTGAGGTTCACATATGACAAATTGGTCAAGCTATTTGTTGATAGGCGAACCAATGGATATTTGTGGCAACAATCTGGGTATAATTTTCCAATGAATGTGTGGAAAAAGATCAAGCACAATGAAGAAAATAGGCTTTATTGTCGTGTTGTGCAGCACCACGCACAACATGGGATATACTCTGTGGTTGTGGATGGGTCCTTCAACAATGGTCACCGCGAGACATTTGCGGTGAATTTAAATGCACGGACATGTACTTGTGGATATTGGGTAATATATCACATTCCGTGCATTCACGTTCACGCAGTATGTCATCAGTGTAGTGTCACTGTGGATCATTTGATTCCTAATTTTTTTTCACTCCAGTCCTACATCAACGCTTATTCGGGCATCCTAATGCCGCTTCCAGATGAGGCCAACTGGCCTACTCCAGGATACGAGATTGTGAGACCAACTGCACGAGCGAGAACACAAACCGGTCGACCAACAAGAACTCGCTACCCGAATAACATGGACTACCGACCACGACGAGGTCGAAATGAACAATAGCTATATCATGGATTTCAAATGTTCAAGTTTATGTTTTCTGATTTTAACAAAATAAATTAGTTATGTCATGTGTTTTGTATCTTAAATTTTATGGATAAATTTTATGTACTCTATCAATAAATTTGTTGTAATTTACTTCTTATTTTTAATTCAGTGTATGATGCATTATTTAAAGTCAATAAATATTTATTTACTTTATGAAGTTGTTGTTGGTAGATTGTTTGTATCATTATATGTCATTAATTTTTTCACATATATGAAATAAAACTAAATAATTCATTTTTAAAAAAGTTAAAAAAATACACGGAACGGAGTTGGCTACTCCGTTTAGGCATTTAATTAATAGGAACGGAGTTAGCTACTCCGTTTCCTTATTTAAATCATTGGAACGGAGTTGGCTACTCCGTTTCTGGTGAATCCTGTAGATGAAACGGAGTAGGCTAATCCGCTTTGCTTTATTTGGGAAAGTATATACTAAAGTTACATATAATGGAATACAAAACAACAAACTTACACATGCAGGGAAATCACCCATAAAAATGATCAAAAGTCAAATTGGAAACTTTAAATCCGGACGGAGGGAGTATATTATTGTCGAGAAACCAACTCTACCAAAAGTTGGTTCAAGCTTGTGGTTGTGGCTCATGAACAATTATTTATATTCTAACACGCTCCCTCACGTGCATGCGTAGTCTTTTTTGAGCCTTGCACGTGAAACTTTAATTTTTTTAAACTGGGTGACGCTGAGTTTCGGACCCGTGACCTCTTAGTCAACGAGGCTCCGATACCATGTCAAGGAACCACCCTATGAACATTTATTTATATTCTAACAATTATTAATAGCCACACCCTTAAAACACTATACACAATCCGTCAACTAAATCCACCTAGTGATGCATAATTCTAAAAAAATTATATAAACTTTATTAACATAGAAAAATATTACATAACTTTTTAAAACTATCCAGCATTTATTTCATTTTATTATTTTTCAAAAAAATTACAAATTTTAAATTTAAAAATTCGGTAATTGTCATTTTAATTTTTCAAAAATATAGGTAACATAACTTTCATTTATTTACATTCAGATACCATTTATTTTGAAAAAAACTACTACTTTCGTCCCTGAGTATTTGTCCAGTTTTGACTTTTTTCGGTCAACTGTTTTCAACATTTGACCTATAATTTAATAAAATATATATTGTATTTTAATTAAATAAAATACTATTTTGAAAATATTTGATATAATAAATCTAAAAAAACTCTTTTTGTATCAATATCTAATATCATTTTAATTTAATTTGAGGTCAAAGTTTACCAATTCTGACAAAAAAAATGAAAAATGGACAAATACTCAGGGACAGAGGGAGTATCCATTTTCTAATTAGTACGAAGTATAAAACAATATGCATTTTACGGTTTTACAATTAGAAACTCAAGCGTATTAGTCAAGTTTGAAACTCAAAGTTTATTTAGTTTGACTCGAAAAAATTAATTTGAACAAATAAACTGAGGGGGAGATAATATATTTTTGTGTAGATTGACGTAGTATAAGAGATTAGATGAAAACACTTCCATATCTCCTTAATATTATAAGCGCCTAAGAGCACCCGCATTGGAAGGACTGCTAAAATGGAGGACCCAGTACACAACTTCTTCCTTACTCCTCATCTCTAAAATATTATTCACAATATAAGTCATGCGATTTTTGTATTATTAAATATTTATATAATACTCCCTCCGTCCTAATTCTTTCTTCCCAGTTTTGACTTTTCTCCATTTTTAATTTTTGGCTTTGACTTCAAATTTTACTCTCCTTAAAACAAGATTTTTTGAAATTTTTTTTTGCAATCATTCAAAATATAGAGTTAGAAGATAAATGGTGTAAATACATGAGGGTATTAATGTCATTTGTCATCGTTTTTTTCTAATGGGAAGGTAGTTTTAGGACGGAGAAAAAAGGGAAGTGGGAAGAAAGTTTTAGGACGGAGGGAGTACAAATTTTTTAAAAATTGACAAAATTTAGTGGTGGAATAAAGGGAGGACTGCTCCAATTTTTCTCTTTCAAATCAGATTTTGTGAGTCGTCCAATACACAACTTCACCATTTATGCTTCCTTATCTCTTAAATCAAAGGACTAAAATTTTATTTACTACTGTGACTTAAATATTTTATTATTATCATTACATATTTATATCATTTACAATTTACAATTTTTTTAAGAAAAATAAAATGGTGTACTTCATTTTATTAAGGTTTCAACAATAAAAATGTTCATTAGTAAATATAAAAACATAAAAGTGCCGTCACCAAAATATCTAAAAACATAAAATTAAATCTATTCTTACATATGAATTTGCAAATTAAAATTATTAAATATGGCAAAATAATTCGAAAAGTTTTTAAATTCTTTTCTAAAAATTTAATTAGGCCCCGTTTGGTACACAAAATTCAAACTATGGAATTAGAATTGAAGGCTTCCATTCCAATTCTGGTGTTTGGTAACACAAAAATTATGTGGATTTGGAATTGATAGTGCAAAAAATGAATTGAAATTGGCAGAATTCATTTCTATGAAATTAAATTTCATGAAATTTCAATTCCAATTCAATTTCAATTCAATCAATTCCATATACGAAACGGACACTTAAGTAAATATTTAGAAAAGAAAGAAATAGTAGACCGGTTAAAATTGAACGAAGAGAAGCTCGTCCATCCACATGGATTTTGTTGGCCATCTTCTTCCACTTTTTCTTCTTCTCCGCGGATGAGTTCTTCTCCGCGGTTGTCTTGAAATCTGAGCCGGAGAAGGACTTCTCCATCTACTACTCCGTCAAGTCCTCCTGGAGCACTCTTCTCCTCCGCCTTAGTCCTCCGTCCAGTGCAGGTGGGGGTGTTAAGCCCACCTCTCATGTTTTGATTCTCTTTCCGATACGTCTTTGTCCTTCAATTTCCAGGTATTTTGTTGTTTCATCGTGCCTTTTCACATCTCTGCATATTTAGGAATTCATCATCATCTTCTTCTTTAATTTCAATTTTTGATAGTTAAATTTCACAGATATCTAGAAGTAGGTGTTTCAAAATTTGGAAATCTGGTCAAGCTTCATGGAATCCCAAACTTTGGAAGTTTCTAGGATGTAGTTCTTTTGAAATTGAGTCAATTTTTAATACACCTATTCTAATTTCGGAAAGACTTGGTGAAAGAGAGGTGATCAAATCCACGCAAACAGATTGTATGTCGTGCATGTTTGTGAAAATCATTTATCTCATAGAGATGATTCGGAGGATTTGAAGTCCGTAGAAGGTAATTTAGAATGCGCTTGTGCGCATTTGGTGCCCAAATGAAGGATATAAATAATCTATTTGTTGAGCTGTATTGCAGCTAAAGCTATTGTTTTTTACAAATCCGAGGTTCATTGTACCTTGTTTGTAATATTTAGATGTATGAATTTGTTAGAAAAAAGGGCTTTGCTTCATTATATGTTATACCCGAGTAATACTTAGAGCTGGTTGCTGCCTATTTTAAGGGATTTTAGGAGTAAGATTTCCATGTTTTGTATATCATAGTAGCACTGATGATGGAAAAGGCAAATATAGCTAAGGTGGATAGTTTTATTCCTTCCTTTTTTTTGGCTTGTTATCGTTGGGATCTTCGCATGTACTAGTGACCTCTACCTGAATACTTGTGGTTGTTCATGCCGGGTAAATGGGCATTAAAGATAGCAACCATAGTCATAGAATTGTATATGTAAATTTTAAGAAACAAGCCAAAGGTAAATCAAGTCCAGACCATCCAGAATGGCCTAAAATTCACTACAAATGACCATAGTGCAAACTATTCATAATGACCTCATTTGCAAACACTTGGATCATAGACAATTCTGCTAGAACCTTGTAGGTTGCACTGCTGAATAGTTCTTAAGTTTCTAGCCACTCTAATAATTCTGATTGCTTCCAATTTTAAGTCCAATTTGTCTTACTCAAACCAATTAAAAATTGTGCAAGCTAAAATAAACATCAATCAGTGTCATAAACCATAAATTATACTTAATGTTCTTTTTTAAAAAAAGTTTATCATATGAACTGTAGTTAGGATAAATTAAATTCTCAAAAGAAAAAAATAAATTAAAAGAGGGAACGCAGGAAAGACCTTGCAAGATCCAAACATGATGATGAACACATTTTTGATACTTTGTATGTGATTACAAATTTAGAACAATTTTCTCATTGGTCAATGTTTTGATTATATTCTTTAATGCTTCATACAGGTGACAAAATACTGTTCGTGTTCTTTGTTGATCCCATCAAGTTTTTGTTCAATTTCCTTGGTATGCTTACACACTTTCAAGATTTTTATTGTTTTATTTTTTTTTTGAAAACAATGTTTGTATCTAGGTCTAGAAATGTATTGTGAATCTTATTTGATTACAAATATTTTTCTCTAAAAGTCGTACACTTTAACTCACTTACATTTAAGTCAAAATATACATGGGAGCTTCTTTATAGGTATTTCTAATTTTTACCTACAACTTTCTCCAAAGACATATAATAGTAAGAACACCTTATCTCCCTTCTTTGGTATCTAGCTACGGTCAGTTTGATGGCCATTCTGATGTTAATGCAGTGGTGCATTCAATTGAAGTACGTGTACTATATTTTGCTTGAAAAAATTGGTTCAGACTGAGTGCTTTATGAATTAATACACAACTAGTGAAAGCATATAGTCTGTGTAGTAAATATGGGTGGGCACTCTGTTTTTTAGGTAATAAGAGAAGTCAAGCTCTATGAGTGTATTTCCTTTCTAAAAACATAACAATAACATATCCTTTTGACCCATGATAAGTGTTGAAAGTTACATTGACTAACGGCTACTACACAATTGCAAGAAGCATAGACCCTTTTAAAGAGCCAATTAAATGGAACCTTAGGCGGGAATCATATATTCATATGAATTCACTTGATTTCATTAGGACTTAATTTTTTGATTTGCTTGCAACGTGAATCAAACACTGGAAAAATGGAAGTCTAAATCTTTGAATTCGAACTACATTGTCTGGAGAGTTATAGAGTCTCTTGGTTACAGTGTGTTTTGAATTTACATTTTAAATAGAAAATGATATTTCTTGTTTGCTTGCTTTGCAGTATTTTTGTCCTCTTCTTATGCATTCATACTTAGGGTTGTTGTTGCTTATGGAATCATGATAATGAAATCGTAAAAAATCTTTTAAACCCCTATTTTGACCCTATCTATTAGTGCTAAGCTGCATCTCTACTTTTAGTAGGGGTAAGGTTTGCGTACACATACCATCCTCCCACACCAGGATTCTACTGGGTTGTTGTTATATTAGTGCAAAGCTATAAACTATGGGTATTTAGGACTCCCATAAGATACTCTTCTTAATTCCAGGCTTTAAAAAAATGAATGAATTGTTAGAGAAGGAAAAGGAATATTAGAATATTAGTCTTTGATTTGTATTGGACTTGTATATGGTAGCTTCCTTTTATTTAGCATTCCTAATCCTATTAGGAATACCTTGCTGTATATATATACTCCCCATTGTATTGTAAATAACCAAGAGAGAATACAATAGTTTTTCAGCCCAGAAACACTACTACGTAACATGGTATCAGAGCAAACCTAAAATACCTATTCCTTCGTGTGCTACAGCCGCACGTTACCATCCAGCATCATACGAACTACTTCGTTTTTTTTTCCTTTGACGGTGAACGATCTCCCTCCGGCAAACAGCAAGCATGGCAGGCGAGGCAACCCCAAAGGATCTGAAAGCATCACCGAAGAATCATGTGGACGAGAACGATGACGACATGGTGCAAAGACGTCGTCGCATATCGCCATATGATCTCTCACCCAGCGACAATCCGGGTATGCTTTTAACCCAGGTTGTTCTTAAGGGACCAAACTATGACGAATGGTCCAAATCCTTGCGCCTTGCCTTACGGGCTCGCAAGAAATTTGGATTTGTTGATCGATCAATAACGCAGCCGGATCCAGACTCAGACGACTTGGATGATTGGTGGACCAATCATTCGCTTATAGTGTCATGGATACGCAACACGATTGAACCATCGTTGCGATCCACGATCTCTACGGGCGAGTCTGCATCTGATCTATGGGACGAACTGAAGGCATGTTTTTCGGTTGTGAACGGACCTCGCGTCCAACAACTGAAACGTGAAATATCTGAATGTAAACAAAAGGGACTTAGCATGATG